TGCGACTGTAAATGCAGAAAATTTTACGAGAACTGTAAAAAGGCGACCCAAGGCGAATTCATACAAGGTGGTATCGGAAGAGCAAAAACTACAACAAGTTGTACGCACAATGACAGCAAGAATTACTACAAAAAAACAACAAACATATCATTTTGGCTGTCAGAACCACCCCGGCGAAAATCTTAGCTTTGCGGCGAACCCTACGTTGGGTCAATTAATTTTTTTTTTTTGAAATTGCTTTGCAAAAATACTTTAGGTGCGAATTTTTTTTTTAGTTCGGTCTAATGTCTATATATTCGCATATGTATGTAGGTGTGTTATGCTTCTCAGCATATTATTTTTTATTACTAGTTTCATAAATGCAATAAATTGCAGCAATGCGCCTCCCCGAAGGTCGCTTGCGCTATTCAATATCTACAGCCGCTACTCCCATTTCATAATGGCAAACACATACAAACAGCGGTATGCCCACATCTATGAAAACATGTGCATACATATGTACATGTGTACATATGATAGTGTGCTATAAACGATAATTAAGGTAGTCTAGTTTCATACTATATGTACCTATTGGGACTAGTTGCGAACTAGTTTAAAATGTATTTCAAATAAAAAATTCAATTTAAGATTTGATTATTTTGAAACTTTTTTGTAGAACATGTTTACACTCTATCGGCAGTTTTTCATGAGCTTTTATGAAACTTCTTCAAAATAATGGTCGGGTGTCCTTTGACCATATGCTAGAAGTTAAGGAGTTAGAGGAAATCTGTTTAAATTTTAAGATAGCTCAGAATAAATGGAGTGGGTCTCAGAATACAAAAATTATGCTCGAAATCAAATTATGCATAAAATTAGCTGTGATGTAAGTGATCTTTGACACACTGTAAAAAATTTTATGGAGAAGAGCAAAGTCTTCTTAGGTCTTGACTGACAAGTGTAGACGTCACTGTTTGGACATATAGTGCTTATCATAACTATACGACATTTACATATTGACAAATTTGGACTATTAATTTTTTAATTATTTAATTTTAAGTAATAATGTTTATATAAAAATAAAGTTGATTGTTTATTATCCTCCACATAAAGAAATTGTCGAAAATGAGTGACGAAATAGGTTCCCAAAAATTAATGGTATTTTGTAGCCACTTGTACTTTTTTATACTACAATTTTCTACAATACTAGGATGGGCATAAGAACTGCATACGCAAAATTTTTCTAAAAATTCTGAATAAAGATGAAACTTTATTACATGCTTTTTTTAATTTTTTTTTAAAGTTGCAAACTTAGATTTATTTGGTTTTTATTGTAGAATAAACATTATTTTTATAAAAAAAATTATTAAAAATAAATCATAAAACTAGTATAGTTAAGTTAAGCATTATAGTTTAGTTGAAGCTCTTAACCAGAGCTTTAAAATTATTTGCATGGCCCCTAAGTACCCTACAGTATTATTAAAACCAATTTGAACTAAGTTTTTTCCTATGTGGTAAATTTCTAGACTCCTTAATGCTCGCTTATGCATAGCAAATTTAAATCCAAGTACTTTTCCTGCTGCTCCAGTGCCAATGCAAGAAGGAACCAAAGTAGGAGCTGCAGCAGCAATAAGCGCGCACCATATGGCGCAACAATAAATGAACATGCAATCAAACATATATGTACGTACATATGTACCCATGTAAGATTGGTGGAAAATCTCCTTGGAATTTTCGCAAGTTCTCGGTAGCAGCTTGGCTTGCTGGCTTCTTGTCTTTATGGCGATGCAGCAGTTTGCCAACGAAGTATGCATTACGCTACGCTTTGTGCAGTAGCGCTATATAAAAGCATATTCATATACGAACACAGACTTTAATAAATGTATTTATACTACATCCATGCAAGTCCATGTATGTGTATACATTAATGTACATTACATATATTTATCTACAAAATCATGTCTTTCATAGGGGTTCCTGCGGTTTTTGGGCAAGCAACCTACTACAACGCTCTAAATGTGCAACTAAGTTAATGCGCTGCTTCGTATGGTTTCACCATATCGTTATTCCGCCTATTCGCCACCCTCCTTGGCTTTGCTTAAAGGATCCGCCATCTGACGGCAGCAATTTTGCAAACGAATAACATTTTACGCCAATGCTGCAAGTCGCATTGTCGATGTTAAAGTGATTATGCAATTCAACATTTCAACACTTGAAGGCAGCATTTTTTATCTAAGTACTATTTTGGGTACTTAAATTGACTACTTCAATATTTTATGCGCATCATTGAGGGAGTGTTGCACAAAAAAAAAAAATATGGAATTATTCTTTAATTCATATCTAACCGAATTGCTTTGGGTAACAATTTGTTGGTAGATATTTTTACCGTTAATGCTTTCACGTCTCTTTTTGTGAGTGATTCAGACCAGAGATGGGCACGGGACTAAATATTTAATCCCGATCCCGCCCGTCTTGAAATTCGATTTTTAAGTCATGAACCCGCCTATCCCGATGTTGTTCAGAATTGTACCGCGTGTCCCGTTTTATCGGGAAAGAATTTTGGTCCCGTCCCTCTCGCCAGATTTTTACAGATCTTCCCGATACCGACCATCCCGGCCAATTTTAAATCAGTACCGTGGGTCCCGCAGGTCCCGCTATCCCGTTGCACATCTCTAATTCAGACACATCACTGTCACGGAATATGATCAGGTTTCTGGTAAATCTCTTTCGAATGTTTCAAGTGACCAGCCATGAGTTCAATTAATAGGTTAGGCTGTTCTTTACCACCCACCATTGGCCTTAGCTTTTACCAAGTTTAAAAAAGATCCTCCGTATTCGAAATAGTTTTGTCAAAAAAGGATCAGTAACTTTTAATTGAAATGACCGGGTTCAATACCAGGTATGGATATTTTTTCGTAAATTGGTAGCACCGTCTTTATTATGTAATGATGCCAAGTATTGGCACAATCTGTCAAGCAATCTGTTAACAGACTAATGATTGAGTCAGTCCGCATTGTTCCATGATTTTTGTTCCAAAAGAGAGAATTATGCCACATTGAATGTTTTTGAACATTCCAAATCGAATCAGACTTATGAGACGCAGGTATATACGAGTTTGACGTGTATAAATAGATAGAAATGAAATACAAAACACCAAACGTAAACAAAAATATCCCACTGAAGCCGTTTGAAAGTTATGGGGTTACAGAGCACTTTCTCAATAAGTGTGGTAGAGCGCAGGTCAATCATATCTGAATTCGTTAATTCGAGACACACCCGTGTATACTGGTTGCCGGGCATACTGGTGTCATGGGCAAAGAAGAGGCGGACAGAATCGCCAAAGAAGGCGCACTTTCAGCAGACGCACAAATATAAAATATGCAAGCAATAAAACTGGATTATGACCTGTACATGATCCAGAAATCAGGAAGAGTGTGGACTAAAACGCAAGGCTACTGGGTTTCAAGAACCAATTGTAGAACTTACGACCCTTTTTAACCCTTGGAGAATCCAATTTTAATTCTGATGAATTTATAACAATAGATAATAATAAATACATGGAACGAAAATTTTGATTTCTGGTTGGAATTTGTTACTGATAAAAACATGAAAACTATTGATGAAAAAGGTACTGACACTGAAAAAAATTAAAAATAAAACTTGCGTCAATCGACAATTTCCCAGTTTTTTATGTAATGAATCCATGGTTTTATGTAGTTTATGGAGTGAAATATNAAAATAAGCTTCCCTTCCATTGAGCGGACACCTCTCTTGGGCGGACAAAAGATGACTGACGGTGAGTGTCCGCCCAAGGGAGGTTTCACTGTATATATAAAAAAAAAAAAGGTAATTTTCAGGCAATTTGAGCTTACACTTTATTATAGTATAATTGAATGGGCTAAAAGACTGCTTACTCGAAATTCGAAGGATTCTGATTAAAAGCTTGAAAATTTTGATGAAGATTTTTTTAAATTGTATTCTTTTAAGACGTCCACCAAAATATTTCGGAAAAATATTAAGATTTACGTGAGCTTGGCCGATTTGAAAATACATACACAAATGGAGTTCCGAATACGAAAGAGTTGCGGAATAGAGGTTTAATTTAAATAATCTTCATAAAAAAAGCCGGTACTATTTTTCCACCGGAATCATAAAACCAATTTTTTTTTAAATACAGACAAAATCACCTCAGATGGCAAAACAGTTTAAGCTTAAAAATTTGCATTAAAACAATTTAAAAAAAATCAACGGGATGATAATAATGAGATTTATGTTGTTTTATTTTAAACTTTTTTCAAAGACTGGTTTAAGAAAAACTTGAATAACTCAGCCTAAACGTCATCGATTCAGACTTATGAAATTGAAATTAATAAAAAAATATGGTTTTACAAGAAAAACGTGGCAACCCTCTTCGAAAATATTTTTGTATTTTGTATTTGTAATTCTCAAAAATATCTTTCATTTGATATCCTTTTAGAACCGAAAATAAATGGAAACCTTACAATAATATCCTCAGGGATAACACTTAGTATATGTATATGTAGGCGAAGCATTGTTTAAGAGCCTTGTTTTAATATCGATGAAGAGTAAAAGGTACATATTGTATATTTATTTTCTAAAAAAAAAAAATTATAAATACATACTTATACGATAGAAAATACATGGCTGTGGATCGTACATATGCAACACAATTAATACAAAAACAGGTAGAACAGCAGTTTTTTAGTTAGTGTATATAATCATGTAGAACAAAATATTTGTATTCATTAGAGGTAAGTCCTATGCATTGATTTAGGCCAAAAAACTGTCCTTTTTTTTGAGTTGATCGCACTTTAGATCTACATAGGTGTGCGATATATACTTCAAACTTCCCTCGCAGTTAATTACAAAGGTATGTACATATCTACTACGACCTCTGACTAGTGACCCCGCCTAATGTATTATACATTATAGAAATGACCTACAATAAATGCTCATAAAACATGTGTGTGTTTCTTTTTTAATAAGAAGCTACTCACCATTTGCAGCAGGCATGTTGACAGCATAAAGTGTCGTCGCGTACACGATCCCATGACATAATTATTCCATTAAAAATTTGGGGACAGAAAATATACAAAGTGGACTAGCTGCGTAAAAAGCAGTCCACTATTTATCCAGAGGATGAAGAAATGTTGCAAATGCTGCAGCTTCCGTTACGTATGTATGTATGTAGTATGTAGTTGCCGCGTTTATTTATTATGCCCCAACCAACAAAACGAGTACACATAAATAATTGCGGGGGGTAAAATCGTATGACTCAAAGTTCCAAGAACGCACAAAATCGCACTGTGGCAATTTGAAAGGACTGGGGGTAAGTGAGTGACTGACTGAGTAATTGCATCCAATAGTAGCCAAGCTAAAAAGCACACAAAGGAGTTGACGAGTTGCAAGTTACTTAGCACGCTGGCATTTCCGGCTAACAATTGTACTTATGTACGTCCGTCTGTGCATGCGAATCGTGAAGTGTCCAAAAGTAGTTGCTGCTGCTGCAGCTTGCGGACGAGAGTCAGAAGTTTTTACAATGTCTGCCTTTTTTTTATTTTTGTTATTTGCTTAATTTTACTGCTACAAAGTGTTGTGGTGCGACCTGAAGTGGCTTTGCATTGAAGTAGAGATGTTGTTGTGGTCTTGTGGTGGCACAAATGTTAAACAAGAAAAATTAAATAAACCGACTTGAGAAAACTGTGCAAATTCGTTGAACAACTTTGCGGGCACACAATTGCGACAAAACACTTTTGGCTAAAAACTTTCGTTGGTTTTGAAGTTTACAAGCAAATGCGTAGATCAGTTACAGCTTGACGTTTTTTTTTTTGTTTTTATTGAATTTTAGTTAATTATTTTGTTGCACTCGAATCTGCTGCACTACAAACACACGTTCAATAGGCTATTTTTTTAATTTATTAATTTTCGTGCACTCAATTGTTATAATTTAATTTTCTTGTATTTCCAGCGCAATTCTTTCTCACAAAATAGCTGCAGCTACTCGCTGCCCGTTACATTTGATCTCTCAATTTTTATTTTCAGGTAATTTTTTTTTTTTTATTTATGTACTTTTATTATCTTTTGCACTGCGCCTTGCACTGTTCGAAAACCTGCTTTCTGCCTGCACACGCTTCCAAACACTTCTGCTGCCAACCAAACCGGAAAGGTGGTATTCATTCGTCTTGACCAGACAGCCAACAGCCAACAGCCAAGTAGAGAATGCGAGTAAAGTGGAAACAGAAATATGTACTTATGTTTGTATGTATGTACAACAAATGCATTTGTGTGCGTGTAAGCAACTCGTTGGTTTTGCTGTTTGCTACCACTTTTTCTACGCTGCCTTCTACTTCCTGCACTAGGTATTTGCCTTTGTTATCTTTTCTGGCTGTGCACCCGGCAACTATTGCCGTATTGTTGTTGTGCTGGTTGGAATAACTAATGTTTACTTATTTTCTTCACTATTCTATGTCAGTAATATTTATAACTGCTTCAATTAGTGATCGTTTGATAAGTCGAATTAAGCCAATTTTGCTGTTGCTGCTGAACTTTCTTTGTGCCTCTGCTACTTTCCCACTATCTTCTGAATTCGAGTATCTTTACGCCTTAGCAAGTTATTGACCTACACCAACAAAGATATGAGAATAGGCAGGAAACTGCGCTGCTGCATCCAAGTATTCCACTCAGTTTTGTTTTTTCTGCAAACAAACACACATTTATTACGTTTTCTTAACGGCTTCGCCACTTCCGGTGTTTGCTAACTTTATTCTTTTGTAATTAATTTCTTTTAATTTTCGACTTGTTTAATAATTTATTTAAATTCTGCAAAAAAGTTCATATCGCATATTGCAATTATTTTTTTGTTTACTCGATTTACTACAAAATCTGCTGCTGCTTTTGTGACTTTTGTTTTTTCTTCGACTATTTTTTCAGGTATGACTCAAACCACCACACTCATCGAATTCAACACAAATACAGTCATATACTCATGCATGCATGTATGTATTTGTGCACGACCCGCATTCTTTTACACGCAAACACCTACAAAACGCAACGCATTCACGTAACAATAAACAACTATACAATAAATATATGTATGTATGTGAAGAAAATTTCGCCTTTTTTTCCTTGCTGCAAGTAGGTAAATGCTTTTAAACTTTCCTTGCAGAAAGTTTGCATTTACTTTGTGAGAAACTTATCGGCTCATAAATTTTTGTTGCATATTTCATAAAACAGTAGAATTCATGCGTTTTTTTTTAATTGTTATGAAATAACTCAACCGCACAAGCACTAGCACTTCAGACATTTATCCAAGTGCCAATTACCTTAATTTCGTTTACTAGCACAGTGACCGCGACAATAACCACGACGACGACACACTAGCGTGGCGGTCTAATAAATGCGCCAACCAACACTTTCTACTAAACCTGCTCGTTGAATGAAGAAAACTGAACTAAAATTAGTTTGAGTGGCACATCTTCGCTATAGCAGCCGCTGCAAATGCTGTGCATTTGGCTAATAAGAGTAGGACTAGTGTTGTCTCTTTCACGCCAAATGAGTGGAAATAAGTTTCGAGGCTGCCAGAAGTGTTGTAATTTTGGTTTATTTGTTTGGAGATTGTTTATGGGGAAATTTTATGCTGAATATCTAAATTTAAAAAACAATTCTTAGGTAACTTTTAAACTTTTAGTCTAACAGTAATTACGTATGTAATGCAAAACTGCGAAAATTGATATTTCACGGATGGCAAAAATACTTACTAATTTAGTAGACAGTACTAAAATATATATAAGCTCTGGGAATGTGCAAATGGAGACTCATTTGATAGTATGGGTTGAATAAAGGCGGACCTGCCTAACATGTGTATCCGTAAACGTGCGTGTGGCATTTATACTTAGAAATAAAAAATTCAAACCACTTTCTTACATTTTTATGCTATGTAGATCCGGCTAAGAGATTAAAAAAAAAAAAAAACTTGCATTCGGCGAGAAATAGTTTTATACACAAGTAGTCAAAAAGTAACTTTATCGTTTTCAAAACTTTCAAAATAATGAATTTTCATCAATATGGCCGCGCTCTTTTAGTTATTTAGCCACTTGTTGAATCTTACCACCAAATAATAAAGGGTGAAAGAGACAACACAACTCGACAGCTGAATAAAATTGAGTGAGTTTTTGTAGGTTCGTGCCTCCGATAAGAAATACTTAATTTTGAAATTCAAATAAAAGTCCGTTAAGCACCAGTTGATTGAATTTATACTAAAGGTTTTGTTAAAAACAAATCTGCCTAAATCATAGCTTAAATTATTTAAAATAATTTTTTGAATAGAAGAGAGTGGCAACAGTGCAATATGGGACAATTACAGACACTTCGAACGCACATAAAAGAAAGAAAGAAATGTATGTCAAGCTTGCCATTAGGTAGATAGAATTAATATAAGGTACCACCACGAGCTCGGAATCTATTGTAATCTCTTTTCTTCACAGTTTTCCTGTTAAACCTTAAGTAAATTTTAAATGTGCTCGTTCTGTGATCTCATGAGGCCTAGATTTCTCTTTCGTCTTCTTTAAATGGCACCGCATTCGTTTAGACTCTAGAGGATGCAACTTGCCTGTCTATTGGCCGAGTCACAGAAGATTCAGAGATACCTCGTTTGTGCAGATAACCGGGACCGTCAGTCTACAGTGTCCTTTACGAAGGAAAGTAATGATTCTTGATTTCCCCTTTAGCAAAATGAATTAGAATCACTTTAAGCTCCATCTTCCAAGTATGCCAAAGTGCTATTCTGTAGTTGTTTCTGAGCTCCTCTTTGATTCTATTCGTCCACCTCTTGGATAGATTTATGGCCTGGGATTGTACGTAAGAACTGGTTTTCGAAATCCCCCTTTTGCAATAAGCAAAATAGGTGTCTCTATGCACCCGAAGTCCTACGATGATGTGACTTTGAAAGTTTAAGGAGTCTTGAGAACCAGCAGGCTTTCATTTAGGATGTCAATTATCTCATTGTGATTGTTCATCTCCGCACAGCGACTGATGGCGTAGTCTTCCACTAGGAATATGATCGGGTAACTTTCCATTGGCGCCGACATCATAAGTGTGGACCCACAGACGCCTAAATGTATGCTTTCTGAAACTTCCGAACCATTTGGTACCAGTCTGGAGGCGCTTAAAGCTGGTGTTTCGCTACCACCCTATATGTTGCCGTCGGGTGCACCCTCATGGTGTATATCAATCTTAGGGTTATCGGTCTACATCCACGGGATTAATTTATGCCTCTGTGGCTCTGGATGAGATTGCGACCACGTGCTTTTTCATAGAACTTTCGAGCTTCCCTCTTGCTAATATGGCTATAGCATAGCTTTGATAGAGGACTTCATTGTCCGATAGTAGCTGGAGAGAACCCTGCATGCGTATTCCTTTCTTCGACAGAATCAGGTTTTTCCTTATATCGGTCGGTCTTGGGTTGATAAAGGGTACATTTCCCTAATGTCTGGCAAACGCCCACGTGTGATATATTTCCGTAGACCTGTGGCCATCTTCCAATGCGACGAATCGTACTGATCTCTCTGGATTCTGGGCCGGTTCTTTGCAATTAGTGTTGGCTGCGTTTGAAAGTTAGAAAGTAAGTGCTAATTTAGTCTCTTCCATTTCCTGGGCTTTGTGTAGCCTTCCGGTTGCGCGGGTTGAAGAAATGCCTTTCCAGAGAGTTCTAAAATTCTCTCTTTTACCTTTCCTGATCTCGCTTACGCACCAGCTCCTAAGCTATGGCAGTTCCCGAGCTCAACAAACGGTTTCGACCTCACCCCACATCTTGGTCTTGGGAGAGCTGCCTGGCAACAAAGCCGATAAAAATACGAAACCACTATGATTTCAATTATGCCAAAGACTTTGTACGATTCTGTAGAAATCCCGCAGTAAAAATGTTTATATTTTTACATATTTTGTATGAATAATTGCATGATACAGATAAGCCTGGAATTTTCGGACGGTCTTTAGCGACGAAAGACAAGCGAACAATGGCAAACGGCTAGAAGCTATACAAGCGCGTTTACGACACTCCGAAAAGGGTTTCCAGTGAAAGCCAACCCAAGAGACAAAAAATTCACATTGAAATGCCTAGTTTTTGTTTTGTTTGGTTTATTGAATTTATTTATCTCTTCTTGAACTTCTCCCACTTTCAATAAAACACTTTTTAGTTGAGAGCGCATTTTTTATTGTTAATTTTTTAATGATTTTATCATTAGTTCTTTGATTAATTGCAGATTAAGGACTTGAAATCATAAAAGTATAGAAATATGAAAAGAGCATAAAAAACAGAAATACGAAAATAGGATACAATTCAAGCAAGATTTACAAACAGTTATAATAAGTACCGGAGAAACTTGCCCAAAAAATATTTAATGGGTAAAATGTGTTAAAAAAAAATAACTTAACTAGAAAAAATACTAACAAGTTTACATTGGCAGTCATTAGTAAGAATATTATGGAATTGGTAAATAGCATATGCCTAGAATTTAATAAATATGTATTTATGAAATGTAAAACTTGATAACTTAATTATTTAAATTAATTTGGCGAAAAATATAAAATTTTACAATTTTGAACTAACAAAAAGAGTGAGTTAGATGTGGGAAGTGAGAATTAAAATTCTTGATGTATTTTAGAAAACATCTTTTGTTTTTATTTTAAAATTGTTCTTGAGATATTCGCATAAACGCTATATACTGGGAGTTTGGAAAGTCGATAACTATTTCATGTAAACTTTGGTGGTCAAGTAAAGTTTAAGCAAATATGACTGTTAGTATTAAATAAGTATGTGTGTGTGTGTTAGTTTCAATGAAAAAATATATATAAAAATATTGCAGCAATTGTCTTTGTATTGCTTTTCACTTCGCTCAGTCTCTGACCTTTTCTCCTCGAATGCTTACAATGCTTACGTGCCTTTTTCCCACTCAATCAAAATAGGCAAGCAAACAAAAATAAAAAGCAAATATCTAATTATGTAATAATTAGTCTCTACGCTGATGCCAACTAAAATCCACCAAATCCTCCACTGCAGTCCAGCAGACCCAAATCGAATTCATTCAAATACAATTGATCATCGTAGTTGATGTCGAAACTGTTGTTGCTGCTGGTCGGACTAGCATCCAGTGAATCCAGTGGCGACATTTGCGGCGCCACCAATGCCATCAAGTCCAAATCAACGCTACCAGGCAAGCCTGGCAAAGTGGCATCCATATTATTTGAGAAAGTATTCGTATACTTCAATGAATCATCCTCAGCTTCAGTCTCCCGCTCGCCATTGGCTTCACTATCGCTTTCGCCACCTCCTTTGCCGTCTCCGTCGCCAGCATTATCGCCTTCGCCCTTTCCTTTGTTCTCAACTACAAGTACTTTTTGTACTCGCTGCGTTGTGATAACAGCTGCTAGCGGCTGTGTGCATTTTGCTGATACCAGTGGAGTAGGCGTGTCGGTACGCTTATCAGCTGCCTCCTTGCCCCCTGCCCCTGTTTGTGTATGCGTGCTGATCTTATGCGTGCGCATATGATATTTTAACTCGAAATTGAACATGAATACGGCCGAACAGATTTCACATTGAAATTCACTTGTTATATCTTGGCCTGGCTGCTGATCGTCCAGCAGCGAGAGATCCTCGATGCAGCGTTGTTGGCGTGCCGCGTGCACCGCGTTACGTTGTCGCAAATATTTGAGTTTTGTGTGCTTTGTTGACGTGCTCCCGCCGCTCCCGAAACCTGGCAATTTCGCACGCGTCCTGGCATCAACACCAGTCGTCTGCTCGATTTCCAGCCGATGCACGCCATACTCGTGCTTTAGCAAATGGAAGCGCCGATCGAAGCATTTGCCTGGATAATTCAGATAAAGACATATACATATTTATTAAAAACTGTTGAAAAAAGATAATAAACGTATGTATGTATTCTTTTAAACCGAAAAAACTCGAAAGTCTCAAAGGTCGAGCTATTCAAGTTTCTGCGAATTGCCAATATAAAAGCAAGTTTAAAATTTGTTGGGTGATGTAAGGCGAAACAAAGTTTGGATACTAACCACAAAATTGGCATAAATGTTTTCGATATTTATTGTCCTTTGGTAACAGTTTTGATTCTGCAGAATCGCTTACAGTTTTTTTGCCTCCAAATTCTTTTAGGTGTTCGGCATTAATTCGCTGAAGCGGTATATATTTAACTTGAAAATAAAAACAATTATAAATATTAATTATAATTATTAAATTACATATATCTCTTTTTACATGCATTTACATAGATATTTCATTAATTCAAGAACCGTAGGACATTTCCTTAAACCGAAAACAACTACGAAAGTATTGAAGCTTGCACCGAAATGACTTTCTTTCAAGTTTATGAATTATTCAAAGGTATCCCAACCACATTTAAAAACAACTTATTTGGAAAACACTTAGCTGTCATTCAATGCCACGCCACGATAGTAGTTGTACACACTTACAAGTGAAAAATTGTCTTCTTCTGCCCAATTAATATCCTGTCAAAATATTTGACAGTGTGCTCTTGAACCGCGATATAAAAGAAACAGAGATGTGTGGAGCTTCTACTGCATTACATTTTATTTTCGTAACTACTTTAATCTCAGTGCACAATTTTATAGACAATGCCTAACTAAGTGAGCTACGGAAAAGGAAACTGGAGGCATATAAAAAACTTAAGACGGCTATGAGTTTCTGTTTCAGGTGTTATACACTTAATTTTTTTGGCGATTAAGCGACCCCGATGTCTTGAAGAGCTAATTTGCTCAGAAGAAAAAAATGGGCCTTTTTGGGGTTAGGCTTATTTTCACGATATAATTTAGCTAATTTTTCATCAAGGTCTGCTTTAAAAGAAACGAAAATATGTTCTTCAAATACATATCGCTCGTTTGCTAAAAGAAGTTCATAACTCAAAAAATACCGGAAGACGGGTTTGCAGTTTATTAAGGTATGTCCTCTTAAAAACAAAAATTTAACTAAAAACGTTCATAATTGTATTCGTAGAAATGACCTTACTTTGTTTAAAGAGTGACCCGTTACAATACAAATTTTAATAAAAATCATAATTTAACCGTTAAAATTGGATTTCAATTTTTTTGCTCAAACTCCGTGTTTTTATTTTTTTCCATCAAGAATAAAGGTTTTTTTTTGGATTTTATGCCTTTTCCAATTTTTTTTATTATTTTTGATTTTTATTTTTTTCGTTCATAACGAATAAAAATTAACCAAATTTCGCGGGTATTCTTGATCGAAAAAATTATTATCAGAAAGTAAGTTTTTTGTAATGATCTAAAAATAAAAATTTTTTTTTTTTCTTCTTTTTATTTTCGAATTTAATTCATAACTTTTTAAAAGGTTAGGGTTTCTGAAAACAACTATTTACCAAATTTTTTTAGTCCTCTACGAAGTTCTTGAATCTAATTTTGCTTTCCTCATTTCAGTATTTTTGTTTTCAATATTCCCCTTGTACCCTCTACTCACCAATTAAACGCCGCTCCACGAGTACCTTGTGCTCTTTAGCCATATGCTCCAGAACATTTTCGCGAGTCGAACTTTTGTACGTACACACGGTGCATTGACAAAAAACTGCAAAATAAATAAAACAAAAATCAATATCGAATAATATTTTACATTTGCAACAATGACACACCTTTGTGCGATTTTCGATGCTGTTGCAAGGCATCATAATTGACAAAACATTCTCCACATAAATGGCAGTGGTATTTGGGACCCTCTGCAGCTGCTGCTACTGTTCCAGCTACTTGGCAACCGCGTGCGATATCGCCGCCAACCTTCGCTATATTTTTTTTTTTGCAAACAACAGAGAAATAAATAAACAAACATTGAAAATCGTCGTTATCGGCTTCTGGTGAATAAATATTGCACTTCTTCTATTGTAAATAAAAATAAAAAATTTTAGGGAGGACACATATGCTTTTTTATTCGCGTATATTTTGGTTTGTGTGACGCAGCTCAAAAGCTGATAAGATACCCTAATGCCCACGAACACACAATTAGACATAAGTAATTAAATACTCCAACTTTTATTTTTATTCAAGCTTGCATACGCATTAGGGTAGTCCTTAAAATATTAATATTTATTTTGTTAAAACCAAGATGATTTTTTTTTATTAAAATATAAATAAGTAAATGTCCAGTTCATCTCATTTCTAACCAAATTTTGGTATAATTTGTGCGATTTTTTAAATAATTTTAAATTTTTTAAACCTAATAGTGGCGCCTAAAAATTTGGTAAAAATTTTGACATTTTCGTGGATGTCTTTATTTTGTACGTAGAACATAATAAAGGGCTCCCCTTACAAAATTTTGATGTTGATATGTTTAGGACCACCCTAATATAATGTCCTTAAATGTAGAAAGCAAATTTTTAATCAGATTTCCTAAGCCTCAACCCCGTCAATTCTACTATAGTCGAAGATATCACAAATAAATTGTGGTCCCGATTGGAGACGGTTAAGGCGTGTCGCACAGGGGGCAAAGTACAGATTCCTCTATGAAAACCAAAATTTGTATGTGATATCTTCGACTATGGTAGTGTCGATTTTGGGTATTAGATCAAAAAAAATATTTAATTTTGTGAGTCTCTATAGAGGAATCTGAACATTTCCCCCCTGTTCGACACGCTTTAACCGACTCAAATCGGGGCCAAAATTTATATGTCATATCTGTGATCATGGCATTACTGATTGAGTGGGTGAGACTGAAAAAAATCGTCCATTCAATTCTTTAAGTACCACCCTAAGTGTGCATACATAAGCAATATTCAACGAAAGTATTCATTCCATACCTTCTTGACCCGTTCCAATCGCCTCCAGCGTACAGTGGTGTACATTACGCATATGCTGCGCCAGTAAAAACTTAAAGTGGCCAACAAAATTGCATTTACGACAGCTGTGTTGTGGCGGGCCTGAAATGCGCAAAAGCAAAAACAAAATCACAGTAATGAAATCAATAAATGCATACGAAAAAAAAAACAAAAACAACGGAATTTATAATCGCTCGCAGCCAGCTCACCCAAATGTATTTGCAAGTGTTTATTCAGCTCCAGCCGCACACTGCACTCGAAAATGCAGAAGCCACATTTGTATGTTGCTGCAGCACCCCCACTGCTGGCAGCCTGAATACGCCCACTCCTGTGAAAGCGTTCGAGATCATGTGAAAGTGTTTCGTTGACCACATAAGTATAGCCTTCATATTTCGCCAGATGGCAGCTTATCGGTTGCTCATTCGCGCTACAATCGCTCGATTTGACAGAACTCAAGTCTTCGTCAATTTCAATGCCACTGTCAAATGAGCGCACAAAATTGCTCTCGTCCACGCCTGCCAATGACACGCTGCTGTCCAGTAATTCATCTGAAAATGTGCAAAAATGCGAAAAAATAAAATTAAGATTTGCCGTTGTTAGGTCATGCAGAGCATGTTTATAATTGAAGTGCTTCAATTAGCTAAGTTATATGCTAACTCATGTGTGTATGTATGTATGTACTATGTGGCATTAGAGGAAATTACTGTGTTAATTGGTTATATGATTGTGGCTGGCGTTCTGCACGACTTAACCACCGAAAAACCAAGGTAGCAATTTGAATTTATGAATGAATGAGAACATAATCTTACATATATTTAATGAATCTGCCAGATGAAAGAAATCACGCATTCCAACCTCCAATAGCTTCTCTGCCTGGATATCGCCGGTGCTATCTAAAAGCTTAAACATACGGCCACGTGGATCCCGATTAAATCGGACTTAATCCGGATCAACTGCAGTAAATTCCCGAGTTGATCCGGATCAACGCTGCCGTCTGTTTATGCTTTAATTGTACTTAATAACCCTGGCAACTTTTCAACGAACTGTGTTAATTAAAATTAAATCAAAAATAAATAAAAGTTTTTCCACTTGTGTGATACCACCCAGGAAGACCTCCTTTTACTTCTGGTCTAATAGACCAGGCGGATAGTTGTCTTTCGAGGTTTCACTTTAAACACAACTTTACTAAAACTATTCTTGCCTAGCAGGCTTAAATGAGTGGGGGACCGACGAACAGTGGTCTGAAATCAAAAAGTATATTGCAAAACAGCGTAGACCCTCTGATTCTCAAAAGATTTTATTTATTTTTATGTGTTCATATTAAGACAAAACAGACCTTATACACTTCACAAGAAAATATAAGGTTCCAGTGTGGAGGCCCCCGAGGCTAGGTAGCATCGAGCTGTCAATTGAAGAGTACACAAAGTATTTGGGAGTAGTCTTGGACAGTAAGCTACTGCGGAAGCGCAATGTTGATGAAAGGGTGAAGAATGCCAGTAACGCCCTTTATACAAGTAAAAGAATGCTGCGAGTCACTTGGGGTCTGTCACCTGCTCTGATGCATTGGTGCTACACAACAACAGTCAGACCAATACTGCTCTATGGTGCTTTGGTTGGTGGGAAATGCCACGAAAAAGTCATCATATCTCGGGCCAATGGAGAAGGTTCAGCGACTCGCAGCACTGTGCATCAACGGCTGCTCTTGAAATCATCCTCAGTTTATCGCCCATTGACTTATTCGCGGAAAACCATACTGCTAAATCCGCGGGTAGGTTATTGTGATAGGGGAATTCAATTTCAGAACCTTTGGGCACAGCTCAATTGGGGTGGGAAGCACAGGCAGCACGGACTACATGGAGAAGGGATGGCGCAAGGGAATGAAACCTAGCCGTAGATCCCTAAACATTGTAAAGGACGGCTCTAAAATGGCAACAGGAGTGGGTGCCGGGATTTACTGCTGGGAACTGAACGTCAGGCGGGCAGTAAAGCTACCCAACCATTGCAGCATATTTCAAGCAGAAGTTTTCGCAATAAGTATAGCAGCAGAGCTAGCCTACACCGAATCGACAATCAAGCCGACAACTAAGGCAGTTACCTCATCCATAAACGTCCTTCGCAGCCGGGAAGTCATATCTATTGGGTGCCCGGCCACAAGGGAATAGAGGGTAATGAAGTACCAGATGAGTCTGCCAAGAACGCCACTAGTCCGACTCTCGAAAAGACAAACTACATTCGTAAACCACTTCAACACAGGTGCATGAAGTGTCGTGATCGGGAGACCAGGGAAACCTTGGAGCATCTTCACTGCCGATGTCCGGCACTGTAAAAAAAAAAACACTACTAAATTTCTTGGGAGCCTACTAATTCGATAAGTTAGAGGAAATCTCAAAATTAGGGCTGAAATTTCTACTTAAATTCGCAAAAAACGTTGACATCCTTTGTGACGTCTAGTTCAACGCGTAAAAACGAGCTCCAACTGGCAACGATAAGGACCTACCCGACTATGTGCGACTCAACGTCGGCCAGATTAACCCAACCCGCGTGGATTTTTGTCTTAAGGTTTCGATTCGCCGCATCCAGAAGGGGAGGAGGGAGGCAGATTAGGATCTCTATAGCAGCTATGCAATATGCTGTAGATTTTCCAGACGCTCAGTCACCATATCAACGCCTCATTATAAATAAGACACAAGGCTATTTATGTATTATTTCGTTCACTTGCGCTGCAGTTCTCAACTGAGATCAGCAATAATTTGAGCAAGGCCAAAATATGCTCTTAAATCTGAATTGAAACAGACATCTCATTATAGCAGAGCGAACGATTCTGCTTTGGGTAGCTATTCTGGAACAAGTTACCGATCTGATAAGAAGAATCCGAATCTCATAGGGCATTGACAGCAATTATGTATATACATATATCGTCGTATCGATATATCGTCAAAGCAATTAATTTATTAACAATAAAGTCGAATAATTTATAAAAAATATTGTGAAAACAACGGTTCAAAAGAAATATGAATGTATGGAATGGAGAGGGGGCACGATTAATTAATATGAATGGATTTCATTGTTAATTTGTGAATCACTTTTTATTACATCCATATTCTCAATTGTATTGCTGTATTTTTTTATTATTGTTTTTTTTTTTTCTTTGATAGTATGCAGCCGACATGTTTAGATATGGATATTTTGATACCATAAGGGTTCATGTGTTTATTTATTTATCTAGCTAGATATGCGCATATGTAGTATATGCCGTTTATGTTTTTTCTACATACTCTAATCACCATAAATATGTATATACACAGTGGGTTTGTAGATTAATATTTATGAGTAAGCTGGTATGCAGCAGCTGATTTTATGAATAATTTCTTTAATTTATTTCAAGCATGGTGCCAAATCAAGTTCAATTTGTGATAGCATGCACATATGTATGTATTTATGTATGTGCGTACACATGGAAGCATCTATGTAAATATGTATGTAATTTAGTGCGGCCTTTTGTTTTCGTATACATATTTGCTACTACTCGCATGAACAATTATTATTATTTTTTTTTCTAGAAAATTTCATTGGGAAAATGCTCATACATTTGAAATGGTATTTGTAAGATTTCTCATGGTTTGCGAGTAAAATATTATCACCAAATACAGATTTAGAAGAGGGCAAGAACTTGCAAAGGCAAATAAAATTGCGAGTACCTAAACAAATATGTATGCATACGAGTACTTACGAACATTAGGGTGGTCCAAAAATATACAGGAAAATTTACTTTTTGGAATTTTATTGATGCCAACCCGCCCAGATTTTTATAAAATGGAAAATAAGGAGACCTGAATTTTTTGTTTTGAAATCGGTTAATATATGTATGTATAACCAAGCCACCCGATTCTCTAATCACATCACTTCCACACAATGTAAAAAAGGGAAAAGAAGTTACGACAGAACTTTACGGTATAATTATTTTTAATCCTCTTTTTATTGGTTTCGAAATTCAAATTTAAAAATTAGTATTTTTCTGTAGTCACTTATAGTTGAAAAAATTTCAAGCTGGGCAAAAACAATGTGGAAAAATTTTAAATTTTTTATCAACTTTAAAATGAATAAAAATGATTTCTAACCAATTTGTGGCTAATTTTACATGATAAAATTTAAAAAATAATTACAGATTTTAATTTTAACAATAATTTTCATTAAGTTAGCGATAGCCAAATGAGACAAAAACACTTATTTTTAACGATGTTAAAGCAATTAAAAAAAAAATATTACTTTCCCGACATATATGGAAAACTTCAAAGGCCCTGTGGAACGGTAAAATGTTAACCGATTTAAAAATAAAAATATGGGTCTTATTTTTGCGATATATTTGACCACCCTAATGTACATGCTATTTATGGATAAGTATATTTTTTCACTTTTCTTTAAATGAAATCGAGTTTTAAGGTAGTTGAAAAAAACATAATTATGTATGTATGTCCATATGTACATATCCATACATACATATGTCGGAAGTATGTAAATAAATGATCTCAACATCTGTTCGGTAGACAAAATCAGTGTGAAAAGCTTCCACTCCAACGAATCCATATTCATTAATATCGATCAATCGGTATGAGTAGTATGTACTTACATACATAAGTATGTATTTACATACATGTGTACTATATTGCGGCAGACAGCTTAACAGACAGCGTAGGCCCCCAGCTTGGGTTCAACCTCTGGCTCCAACGTATGAAGGCTGCAATGTTGACATTAGAGTTTTGAGTTTCAAACACCTACTCAAAACTTGGTCAATTGAAAATTAATTAACGGCATTGTTGCCTAAGATCTTAAGTGGAGAACGCTAGTCCCAAAATGCATGCATTGACATTAGGGTGATCTAAAGAAAAGGGAAAGTCGGAATTTTAATGTTCTCATCGCCTAGGATTATTTGATACCAAAAAAAAATACCCCTGTTTTTTTATTTTAATCTCGAAAAATATTTATAGGTCAATTTTTATTATTAACTATGAATTTTTTGAGGTTTTTGGGGTGCTATGAAAAATAGTTAATAATAGAAAATGATTAATTAAGCAATTGAGTATTGTTACTGGAAGTCTTCTGATGAGAAACGAAATTTTCCGATCGAAAAATATTGAATTTGAAGAATTCTATACCGTTTCTACGAAAACTGTTTTTTCCCATATACATACAATACATGGAAAACTTTCAGCGCTTTGAGCGACCTCTAAATATTTTTTTTATTTCAAAATAATAAATACAGGGATAAAGTTTTTTTTCGATATAGATATAGAACAAAGCTAGGGTGTATGAGCATAAAATTTCCGACTTTACCTTTTCACATGCATTTTTAGACCACCCTGATGTACATTTAAAAGCACAAATACTCTATTTATTTACGTAACCATACTTCATAAGTTCTTGGAGTTATGTGAACTTCTATATACGGTCAGTTGGTTAGAAATGTATTTACATATGTATGTACATTGCACTTTAGGGTGAGCAATTTATTTCAGAAATTTTAGAAAGCGGCAAATTATTTCATCTCCCAGAAAATAAAGCTGTAACGAAACCAAACTTTTAGTACTAAGGTATTTCTATCTATTGGAATAAAGATTTAGTTATCTTCGGTGGCCCTAAAGTCTTTTAGTTCCCTCGGATGATTTAGGAGAGGAAAAGAACGGAAGAAGTGGTCTTATAGGTAACGATCTCAATACTGGACATCGAAAAAAGCACAATAGGTAGAAGCACGATTGGATGTCTGGTCCAAGCAACTTCCAAAAAAACCATTTTTTTTTGTTCGTTCAGAGGCGACGTACTTTTATGTGAAAATATAGAGGCACACAAGAAAATTCGGAGGAGAAACTCAAGCCAACACTGAGTGAAAAAAGTGAGCGCCAAATACTTTGCTCTTTTTCAAATAATTTTCAATCAACATATTCATCGGACAAAATTCTTCCTGCCCTAATGTATGTAGATACATACCCACATTCGTTTGTGAGTAAATTAGATGCCTTATCGCAGCTTAGCATTATTGACTTTGCTATTTTTTCTGTCCAAACAAAGGTCTAAAATATTGGTAGAATTGGTTTTAAATACACCGAAATGGGTATGCGAGTAAATGAAATAATAAATAATGTTATTCACATTGTATGGACATAAACATAGACACACCGTAAATGTACTTAAGCCACTTATAATTAATAGGCAATGACGTTTAAAATCGTTGCAATGCAAAACACTTTTTGGCGAACAATGCTTTTAGTACTGTTAGAGTTTGTTTCCATGAGCTTTTCGTGTGGCCGTGGGCAGAGGAAGTGCGGTGTTGGCAGTGGGCAAAATGCAATAACAGTAATGGGAAAATGTCATGCTTAGGAGTTCTTAAATATATGTAAGTGCCTACATTTGTATGTGCAAAATAGGTGCATATAAACACAAATTATTTTTATCCAATTCATACATATGTATGTATGTATATATGTATAACATTTCTTAATTATTAATTTTTTTTCTAAGTTCGGTGCCCTATTCTAAATCTTTGTATTTCTAGCAGTATTTGCAAATTTGAATGTTTTGACAAAAAAAAAAAACAATTTCCTTTCTTGTCTTCCATCATTAACTCATTTAAATTCACAACATTGGTGGTGGTATGTCTTCGCAACCACTTGATCTCGTCATCGGCAATATCATTTAAAATAATTTGCATAAGAGAGCACCTTTCCATGGCCATGTCGCTTGAAAATTAAACAAACATTCACCTCGCAGTTAGTGGCCAGATATGGCAATCACTTCCACTTCATTCCGAAATCACCTAACCTTTACTAATCGTTGTAGATCTTTCTTTTGAATAAAGCGTAGCAGGTAAAAGGTGTAAAAACAGATTAAAGTGAAATGATGATAATGATGTTTTACACAAAATAATTACAAATAACTTAAAGAAATTAGAGCTGCTGAACGGTTAATAACAAAATTACTTGGAATGCTTGAGAGCAAAAAAAAAAGCAAACATAGTACAGTTAGCTAGAGTGAGAGAATTTCACTCCAGAAACAAAGTAATACTAAGTGGTATACCCGCAGAAAGAAGTAAAAATCGTAACGGAAGTCACTAATTTGATACAACGTTTCTGTAAAAATCATCGCCGGCGATATCGCATTTTTTTTTTTATTCTTATCCGCTTTCGGGAAGAAGTGTTGATATGAAAGTGTAGAGGGCGATATTTTGGAAAATAAAATATTTGATAGAAGTAATGAGAAATTTGGGGTGAATTCGAGTTTGCTATCACAGCGGCAAAGTTACTTACTGCATTTTGCAAGTGACTGAGCAATTAACCCACAGTTATTTCTTACGATGCTTTAAACTATGTACATATGAGTGATTTCTAGAACTAATTTCGCATGTAAAAAGATATTACGGGAGGGTTTTTTTCTTTGATTCTTCCTTTTTGGGTTGCTCAATTTCCCTCCGGAAATTTGGATGTTTGGAGCTCGGCTTGGTCGGCCAAAATCGACGAAATTCTACAGAAAAAAGAAAGACCGAACTCGATTTTCGGAATCACCGTGCAATTCTACGTAGAAATTGGATAGTGGCGTCTGGAGAACAAAAATCAAACTAAAGTTTGTGATGCAGTGTTATCAATGGATAATAACAAGTAGGTAATGTGTGGAAAATATCATTGCGGAAGTTTACAAAAGCTTGACGAAAGTTAATAACTCATTTCGTAAAAAAAAACTGGTGCACCCCAGTGTACTTACTTGTATTGTTTTTAATGCCCCGCGTACCTTTAATTGGAATCACCACAAATAGTAGTTTTATATCTTCACACAACAGTTGTTTTTATAAATAACCCAAATTTTAAAACAATTTCATATTTTCACGTTAAAGTTATTTCGGTTATTTCGGTTAAAAACGCTTGTAGGTACAAGTAAATATCAACCGCATTTTTTTTTAGTTTTAGTTGTTAAATTGAAGTTTAGGTTTCTTAATTACTCCATTAAACAAAAAAAACAAGTTTCACTTTTTATTTCTTTTTTTTTTTTAATTTTTCCCTCTCTGAACTTGTTTGTCATTTTGCACTCGCGAAATGCTTAACCAGCAATTTTCACCATTTTTCCAAGGCATGTTAGACTTTTTGCCTCATATTCTGCTAAACAAAGCAGAAAATATCATTTTTCTTAAACTCATATAATATTTTTTCACTAAACTCAACTAAGTTAATTCTCGAAACCCCAATTCCACAGAATTTTAGCGAAAAAAACTCTTGCAACAACACAGCTGACATTTTTATTATATGTACATAGGTACGCACGTATGTATGTAATTGTGGGTTAAGCACCATAAGTAATAAGTAAACGAAAACAAATGGCTTCGTCTGACTCATGCCGCATGCAATGCACATAAGCACACATGTACACACTACTATATTCCTACTATAAAAGGCTCGCAATGTACATTTGCGTACATCGTTTCTTTTTTCACACTTACCCCTCTCCGCTGACGCTGTCGTCGCCGTCGCTGCCGCTGCCGCCGTCGCCGTCGCCGACACTGACTTCGGCAAGGATATTGACTTGGGCGTGTTGTAGCCGAGGCCTCTTGCGCTGCCACTGGCACGACCGGCACTCAACTGCTGCACTTTCTGTTATAAAATAAAATTCATTGCACTCATTTCATTCAAATTATTTAGTAGCACACTATGTATAAGAACAACTACAACAAAAGGCACTCTTATAGACGAGATTTTCCATTTACTACAAAGTACTAAATAGAAATGTGCTAAAATACTACTCGTATACACATACACGCACGGGGGACACACCTCTTCACGACGCCGCCTACGTTTCGCTGCTGGTCCCTCCTCGCCATTCAAATCAACGATGCCTACAACCGGCATTCCGGCTGCTTGTCGTTGCTGCGGCAGCTGTTGCAGAAGCTGTTGTTGTTGTCGTGAGCGCTTTGCCGGCAGCGCACAACGTCTGCGTAGAATTTTGTCCGCATTCCGTACGCAACGTATGAACTCGCTGCACATCTCCAGTGTGTGACAGCAGTCGAGACAGATGTGTTGGGGCAGTTCAATGTCCGCAAGCGAAGCGCCAATGCGCGCACACGCGTTCAAACAATCGAGCAGGGTGGTGGTGGTGCTGCCACTGCCACTGCCACTGTCGACGCTACCACCACAGCTGTTGGCCATCATTGTTGTTGGCGTGCCATTGAGTTTGTTGCCTTTGGTCGATAGCGTTCTGATAGCCTTGTATGAATCATTGCCGGCTGTCGTTGAAGTTGTAAACTTATCATCGCGCAAATCCACCATGGCCAAGGTGTCCAGTGGCACAAACTCCAAAAGGGGAGTCTCCTCATCGGAGCATGAGTCCGGCGGTGACTGGCCCGTGGTGGGCTGCTGCTGCTGCTGCTGCTCCGACAGGCAACAGCGGCACATTATGCGACGTGGCCGCACCCGTTGATGTGGCTGTTGCGACGCCACTGCTCCTCCACCGCCTGCTACCGGTAATCGCTGATTGCCAGCTCTGCTGTATACCAACTTTGGTGCTACTATTGCCATCACTCTACATAACTTTTCACTACGGCCTGCAGCGCTGTATTCACTGTAATTTCCGCAAGTGCTGCCACCACTGCTCGTACTGCCATTGCTGCTTACACTGTAACTCCTACTGCCGCCCATTACTGCATTTTTTCACTGTGTAAATCTATTCTATTTTTCACCTGCGAATGGGTTTAGCGTATTTTTGGCGTCCCGGCGTTTTCTTTTTGTTTATAAACAAAAAATATTAATTAGCACAACTCACGGCGTACAACCAAGCATTGCCTGCCGCTTCGGTAGATTCGCGTCGTTCGCACTGCGTTTTCACCAAATTCGAGTACGTACACGTCGATGAGCAAATCTCTACTGCTGCAATACGAGTGTAAAAGCCAGCAAGTTGGCAAGCGATGACTATGACGACGACGAAGGCGATGGCGATGGCGAATGCGACCTTGCTGCGCGCATATCGACCAGCCGGTACGCTACACCGGCATGGAGTGGGCATGCGCATTACTGGCAACAGCTGCTCGTTGAGTGCCATTTGTTATTGGACGGACTACCCTAACAAATGAATTTGTATGTGTGTATGAGAGCACTAACACCACTGTGTGGATGTGTTTGGCATGAGGAATCGGTCATGACTTGCGGCATAAGAAGGACCGGAAGTGAGGAAATACAGCAAAAAAACGTTTTCTTAAAAGAATATGATCAGTCAAAAAGATTGATGACTCATTCAAATCATTGAAACAATTTTCAACTCAAGTATGTGGAAAGAAAAGCGTAATGCTTTTCATCGAAAAATTTAAAAGGGAACCTCACAAAAAATAGCATAAAAAAGTTATTGCTTGATGCATTTATTTCAAGTGAAGATTTGTTTGATTTTAGTCTAAAATTTGGACCTTCGAATAATTTTGATCTTTTAAAAACCCCAAATTCGGAAGCGATCAAAATTGTCACTAAGTTTAAAAACTTATAACATTTGTTCATTTACTCGAACCTCAGTGCAGCATTGAAACCGGACCGGATATATCAAATTTTTAGTTGGTACCTTGACCATTGTGGTTTAGTATTAGTTCTTACAGGCCTCTGCAGCTTCGACAAAAGATACCTTGTGAAAAACTTATTCCACCACACATATGTACATTTATAACAGATGGTGTCCACTAAATTTTCTTCGATCTTTGACCAAAACTTTATGCCATTTAGCAACTAGATCCCACGGTACATCTTAAATCATTAAGGTTTCAACTCTTTTTTTCAATATATTAGCTCAATTAATCACGTGGGCTATTTGAGATTCCCTGTTGATAGCTTAGTTACCATTTCTTTAAACATTTGCCTAATCATTCCAATCAACTCTTTTCTGTCGAGAGTTACTTCTTCACTTGCTTCTGCAACACATCAAATTCACTTGAGTTTATGCTCAATCATCAAAATGATGCCCGGTCCAGTTATTTTCAAACCAAACCAAATTTGGTAAGTATCTACATAGATTCTTGTTAACAAATCTAACTGGACGCTCTGAACTAGCAAATCTGTGAGCAATATATAGCCAATTAACTCGTCCAACTAACAGTCTATTAGCAACATTCTGATCGTAGAGTTCATTATACTCGACTATGACCGAATTTGGTTATACTTGTAAGTATCTGAATTCTCTGGGTTATACTCTCATTCGTATAGGTACGTGTTTTAATTGTGAGCTTCAAGAGCAAAAACGGATACGTCATACACAAACGGCGAGCGCGCACACAAATGCACAACGCATGCACACAAATACTACGTACACATACCCTGTAGGGAAATCCGTCAGTCAATTTAGAGATATGACTGGTTCACCATAATTCTGCGTACATATTTTCTACAACTGCTGGAATGCAACTTGTGATTTTGGCATTGCAGTATTTCAGGGGCGAAGTAGTTTGAGCTGCTTTACTTGTTCGACAAATGGTAACTAGTTAGATTTCGAATTGCCGAATACGCACTATGTAGTTCATAAACTAGATATTGGTGGCAGCTCAATTAGTTCACGTTCTATTAGTTTTAAAATGTCATTGTCCTACGAGACGTTAATTGTCTAGCTATGTATCAGCACCTACCAGTAGAAATACTAATTTCATAGCAGTTTCCCCGATTCATACCGCTTGAAAGGAGTCAGAATGACATTTTGGTTGCAGCGCTCCAACAGTTCCAGCTTCCAAAAAAGGAGGAGGTTATCAGTTCGTCGGAAAACTTTTTTTTGTATGTATGTTACCACATAATTTTGGACCACGTCAACCGATTTCGAAATTTCATTTGCATCGCAAAGATGGTGTCTCAGAGGTGGTCCCATACTAATCTGGTTGAGATCCGATCAGTGGATCATGAGATATATATATATATATTTTTTTTTTATATGGGAGTTGAAGTCGGTTTTTTTTTTGCTAAAAATTACTTGTTTACTTTGACAATTCAGAGGCAGATATCGTATGAGTTGTCGAAATGGTCGCACTGTTGGTAGGCCATCGCTTCAGCCAGTAAATGAACTGGTATTTTTACTCACTGGTTTGGCTTTTCGCTGCAGGGGTATTTCCACATTTCATGCACAAATACATACATGTCCAAAGTGGTTGATAGAAGCTCTCAAAAATAAGTCGCTAAAACAACTTGCACATACTACTTATGCCGGCTTATTGAATGGAGTTACCAAAAAAAAATTAAACACATCAATGCGGTAAACAGTAATATGTGCAGAAAGTAAAAAAGACATAAAATAAAATTAAAATAAACTGAAAAAAGAATTTTAAAAAAAAAATACCCATCGCTCTTTTCAATGCAAAGGGACTATTTTCGATTTTATTTTATTACAATTTTTTTATAAAACACCGGCCCACAAAAAAAGGGTGTGTGCTTTTTACCAGACCCAACTACCAACATATATTTGAATTGCAAAAATTATGAAAAAATGTCAAAAAAAAGTCCTAGTTTACTCGAAATTTTGAGGGTATACGAGTCAAAGGAGCCTCGGTTTCGGATTCAGTTGGTCAAAATACATGTCGGTAGGTAGTACTTTTTTTGTGTACTTGTGTAATATAACAATACTTTGGCACTTTTTTTGGCTGCATTTTTGGCGGAGCTTCTCCTCTAATTGGACATCCTCCATCGAGGTTTGCGATGTCCACTTCATGTGCCACGGCAAGTGGCCCAAATTCTATCGTTCTTACTGGCTATTAACAAACGTCACTCTGGAATCCACTTTAAAGTGAGGTTCGAGATTGGATGACATAAAGACGGAATGAATACTTCTGGGCCTTGTTGAATGGTACCAGCAGCGAAGACTATGGTGGTGATGATGACGGAATCGATGCTTCATTATCCGACCATGAACTAATAGTAATACCTGGGTTCTTGATAGCTGCTATCGGCGGCGGTATAACAGTCGAGATATTCAAATACAGAGCCAGCCGTGCGACTCTTTAATAAGCGCCAACTATAGCGGAATCAAGAGGATTTTGTGAAAGGCTAAAGCCCACCGTAAACGGTGGCTGAATGAAATATCGTTGAGCAATGCCATGATTTGGAAGGAACTCTCCGAACCGTGTGATACTAAAGTATGTTTTGAGACAAGATGAATATCGACTATTCATTCTTCAAATTCACCAATGGGATTAGGCTAGAACTGAACGTAAGAAAGATTCTGCATATTTTATTTTGCGCACGTTGCGTACATGAGCACGGAAGGCGATGGTATAATGAACTTTACAGCGATATAGACGTACATACATACATATGTAGGTCAGTGGCTACGCTGCTTAGGCCATGGCGTAAGACTGATGGCGAATGAAATGCGTTAACTGCTGGCGGTCGTATGGAGAGAAGACCTCCGCTGATTTAGAAAAAATCTATTTCGGGAAATAACTCAATTTCGGGAAATAACTCAATTTCGGGAAATAACTCAATTTTCGGAGTAGCAGCTTGGCTGTAATGTATGTATGAGCTATGTAATAATTACCGCATTATTGTAACCTCGTTGCTTTATTGATGCTCAACTAAAAATCTTCTAAAATGCTAAAGAAATTACAGAGTTATTTTACACTAGGTGGGTTTAATAACAAAAAAACATGTATGCTCTAATTTCTTTTAAAATTTTATTTCATTTCACACATTTTTGATTTGTTGTGTATAAGAATTGCTTTACGATTAACAGTTTGGAGTACCTACATACATATTTTTGTAGTATACTTTAATTTAAAGTTAAGTAAATTTTTAATTTGAATGCTTAATTTGGGTAAATAAGAGTTCTATTTTTTTGTATACAAATGCACATATCGATGGTCCTCTGCATTTTTTTTTTAACTGTGTCATTATTGCAGACGAGCATCAATATGCAGTTGAAAGCAAACAGTTGGATCAAAGTGCTTTGAGACACTATATGTATCTATGACGTAGAACTGAAAAACTATAAATTTGAAAATTAGCAATTAAAAAGAAAGCCTTAATAGCTACGCTTAATTCTTGATTGAACCGTACAAAAAGTTTATTTTTTTTAATTGGCGAAACGCACTAGAATGATGCATATATATATATTTTTTTTTTTAAATACAAGTTTTTAGTTTTTTAACTGCGCTCATATAACTTGCATTTCAAGTGCGTGCACTTAAATAAATTCCTTATTAGCTAATTTGTAAGTTAAAATCTTTAATTATGGTACATTTCCCTTCTAATTTCATTTCTGTTTTTAAATATTAAATAGGCTTGTTTAAGAGAAAGGCTAGGTATATGCCGCGTAACATTATTTAAAAAAAAAATTGGGCATCCTCGAGTTAATTTAAAACACGGTAAGCCATTAATTAATTACATGTAAATCATATTTCTTAAATAAAAACCCGTTTTCAATATTTCCATAATATATTTTGTTTTGGCTATTTATGCATAATGAACGAGTCTTCTAACGATGCCACTGCCGTCATACAATTTTTTCAACTTTCAAAGGGCTCTTTCAACAAAATAGTGAGTTTAATCAGCAAATGAATCAACTAAATAGATAATTGAAAGAGCCAATGTCATGCAATATCTAATCGCTCTGTGATAGGCGATTTTCGTGAGGGTTAAGTGCAGTATTTTGTTTGCTATCAAGAGCATCAAAAAATTAGTAGGGGCAAACTAAAGGCATTTTCAGCAATATTTATTTAAAAAAGAAGAACTCTTTAAGATAAGTGAACTTGACAGCAGAACTGCTACTACTTTAATGGCGTACTATGTACATATGTACATATCAAAGCTTTTTAAATTAACATAAAAAGTGCTGATATGTATGGCTGATCTAAGAATGCCAATGAATCTCGTAGTTGAGAAAAAAATAGCAAAATATGTATGTAAGGACGATAAAATAAGAAAAGCAATAAATCCTTAAAGTTCTGCTGTATGTGCTGTATATTTTGGAAAAAC